GAAGATGTTGAAACAGAAGTGTCACAAGGCCTTTTTGCCTGGCTTTGAATGTTCCTACTAAACCGGCTGTATGACTGACAGTAACTCCCATGCTTTGCAGGGGAACGAAAGAATAGTGGCAGATCCTTTTGACTATGTGAGTCGTGTTTTTTTTTTTTCTGTAAAAGCCTCAACTCCCCCTCATTTTGATTTTTGTAACACACTGAACCCCAATTATCCAGTAAGCTTGATGAGTTCAAAGACTTCAATAAAATCAGAAGATGGAGATGTAGAACAAAGAAATTAACCGACTGCAACAACATGAAAATATGTAGTTTGAAGTAAACCAAATGACTTGCCCTCAGAGAGTGAGATAAAGCCTCGGAGAGAAAGAGACAGAAATCTCTCTAATGGGAGTGGATTGACAGTGAGACGCATGGTTCCCTCCAGACCATTAGAGAGGTCCGAGTGGAGAGAGGGTTTGTTCCCAGGAGGAGAGAGCTTGTCTTAGGCTCACCCATGAGGAAGAATCTGGCAGGGAGGCTGATGAGTGGAGAGAAGCCAGTAGAGAAGATGGGCCCTATTGTCCTGTTACACTGATGAGGAAGAAGGGAAGGGGAGTGGCACTCCTCAAAACGGGGAGAAGAAAAAGACAACAGAATGAGGACCAGAGGATGAAAGAGGGAGCGCCACACAAGACAGACAGGATGAGACCGGGGGGAGGAACTGGAGAAGGGGAAGGAAGACATTCTAAAGTTGTAAGAGGAAAAGGACTCAGGAAGTGAAAGAGAAAGAAGGGAAGAGAAAAAGTGAGGAGAATGGAAACAGGGTGGGAGGGAAGGCTATGTTGGGAGAACTGGATAAGGGGGGGTGGAAGAAAACAGGAAGAGGGTTATAATGCTGCTGTCGTCTCTGTTTCCTGTGTCCCTCGAGTGAGTTGTCCTGATTGGTTGGTTTAGGGGCTGGGGGGAAGTTTATATCATGGCTCATTCTTTTGGAAAGACACAGTTGTGTATCTGAGGATCCTGCTTTGATAAGGAAAGGTGGGGAACAGAGGAGATTGGAATTCACAGCCTGCAACATGTTGTTCTTAATGTTTAAGGAAGTCAACATTAGGCCTGGGCTGGTATGAAACTCTGAAAGTATGATAACCTATAACAAAAATATCACGCATTCATTAAACTGTGATTACAGCTGTATTTCTTAAGTGTCGGAATTTAAAAAAGCGAAAAGAAAAATTAAAGGACTCCTGAATTGTGGGCGGATCTTTAGCATTTTCTGAATTGTCAATTAACTTTAATTGTCGACTGAGACTACTAGGAGTGTTATAGTATTCAGTAATTCTTCATTAAAGCTGTTAAAGTTTTTTCTTGAAGGCTTTTCTCTATGCCGACTAAACTCAAGCGCCGGAGAGAGTTTTTTCACTATCAAACATGCAGCTTTATAACTGGTCAACTCAGATTAAAATGATGTCAGATTGGTTTTCAGTGTAGGAAGTATTCCTAATTACTGGGCCTTGAATCTTCATCCTGACTTCCTGGATCATAGAAGAATGAACTTTCAAGTAGAGTTTCTGAGGGATATCTTAATAGCCTTTAATATGTTGCTGGATTGGAATGATGTGAAGAAACATGAAAATCCCTCATTTTAAATAAATTCAGTCTCCCCTGGCTATAAACCACAATTTGCCAACCCATATTAGAAGTATAGGTTTATTGAACCGTTCCTCTTCTGGTCTAATTTCACCAACTTGTTCATTCCTGGCTCTCTCAGATCTTTTGACCGAATTAGGGCCAATAGCAGCAATTCTTATAAAGAGTTTTATGAATACATTTATCTTTGCCATTTCATTAAGTTTTTTTTTTAAGGCCTAAGAAGTTATGGCTGGAACAGGCAGACCTGGAAAACCCTGATTTCAACATCATTTACCAAAGGTTTACTTTCCAGGTCCTGAATCCTCGCGCTTTGGGCCGGATTTATCAAGATCCAATTTTGCGTGCAGTAATTTGCGCTCGCAAACTGGAATTTTGCGCGAGGGGCTGAACCATGGTTTGCGGGTGATTTAACAAGAGCGATTGCGTAACTGGTGGAAGGTGCAAAACTGTTGGAGACGCCCTATTTAAATGATGGTTTTGCGCGTTTTGTGGTTTGCGGCAAAGTAGTTTGTAGTCTGTACAAACTAGTGCATTAAGAAATTTAAATCTTACAGTGACCCCCAACAAAAAAAATAAATAGGTAAATATATATATATATATATATTTATTTATTTATTTATTTATAAATTATAAATTGGCAACCTTTATTCCCTAAGGTGGTATGTGCTGCAGTAAAAAAAAACAAAACAAAAAAAAAAACAGGTGTTTTGTATTGGCCTGTGACTGTGGATGAGATCCCCGCAGCATTTGGCACGTTGCTCCACAGGCGCAGGGGGAGAACCCCGACCCCGTCAGACAGCTCTTCTGAAAAAACGAGATTGGGAGATCCCAGCTCTCGCTGCAACCGTACGCTGGAATGACCCAGATGCAAAAAAGTGCAATGTTGCAAGGAGTTTTGTGATATCTGGTATTGCGTGGGTCCTCCTTGTGGCTGGCTCCAAATCCATTCGGAGTTCCCCCAACAGCTCCAAAATGGCAATATGCTGGATAAACGATATGTTTTGATGATCGTTTCCTCGTTCATTGCAAAAATATTCACACGGAGTGAAAAAATGCGTTCTCTGCGTCTCCTTGCTTTATTTCCATGTCTCCTTCTTGCGACAATAACCGCTGCCATGTGTGCGCAATTACGCATACAGACCATTTGCACCTTCTTTTGAAACGTGTTAAATATAGAGTCAGATACCGTTAGCAAAATTGCGTTCAAGTTTGATAAATCACTTTGCGAGTGCTAAATTAATATATTTACATGTTCTCCTCCCACAAGACGCACTTTTGCGTGTAAACGCCCCATATTGCATATTCATTGCAGAAAAAGTACTAAATGGATCAGAGGCGCTATTTAGCACGTTTTAAAAACCAAATGCTATTAGCACGCTGTTGATAGATCAGTTTGTACATTTTTTAGCGTGCGCAGTGAAATAGCTCACGTTTTAATACACGCAAACCTTTGATAGATCCGGCCCTTTGACTCTAGAAACCTTTGTCGAAGTAGGATCTGGATGTAAATTTCAGCTCTTTGGAATGGCACAGACCTTCTACTTCTATAAATACATAAAATTTCCAATTTTTAAAAAGATCTTTATCCTCCCATCCATCTCAAGATCAATCAAATGTTCCATTTTTTATTTTTGTAATCCCTGTTTTATCCTCTAAATATTTCCAACTTTAATTATTTGAAATACTTGTTTAAAGTTCTTATTAATTACTTGCTGAGAAGTGTAATCTGTCACGATACACCTCCCCATATGTCCATACATTTGACATTACCCATTTTATCATGGAAATGCTGCCGCATGATCTTCACCACAAATTAGATACGTTTGTTAAGCTCTTTAGACCAGTTCAGTCTTTTCCATCATGTTTTTAAAATCTTTTTTTTCTTTCTGCTTACTTTTGGACTGATTGTGAGATAACATGAATTGAAAGAAATAGTTTGTACCGTTTTCTTCTTACAAAGGTTTCCTCTCTTTTATATATGTGGGGGTGTATGCTGAAGGCAACATTGCGTTTGTTAGGTGTTTTTTTTCTCCCTCTGTTTTAGTTTTACTTATTTGAAAATGACAAAATACTACGGTATGTTAAAAGCATCCATTTAATCTGTTTATCATATTTCTTGTATACTGCCCTATCTCACCTTTATATTTCTGCTTTGAAATTAAATGAATCTAGATGACGTGGTTTTGTTTTTGCATGTCCACTGTTGCTTTAAACAAAACAATATTTCCCACCCTTACCTATCCTGCCACATATTTTGCATCTTCCACTCTTGTATGAAAGAAACAGTGAGGTCAGCATCACAGGACAGCAACAGCTCCAACTTAAATGGTTGGTTTGCATTTGAAAACCTTTATTTGTCCACAGCCCTGAAATACCGTCCTTGAGTTATATCTGCACAAAATGAAATCTATGTGATCATGCAATATCAGTTTGTGCAAGAACTTAATCACATAAGACTAAATGAATGCAATATTTGGTTAGATATTATATGTCTAATCTTAATGAGCTACACCCCATTTATTCCACAATATGTATTGCCAGTTGGATTGACTGACCATCCTTGTTCCTAAGCCTTATGTGTACTTACTGGCTTGGTATAGAAAGACAAGGAATCAGGAGTGTGTTAAGCTTAATTGATACGATTTAATAAGTAGAATCCCTAAGAAAATGTCCTAATATGGTGCAGCCATGATCTGTAACATTGTTTGCATGTTGTTTGACCATGGTATGTAGATAACCTGTTTTGTTTGGAAGCTCCATTGCTATAATATAAGCAAAAACAAATTTATTTTTAGGGATTCTAAGATATTGAAAATGTAGTTAAATACTTTCCTCATAAAAAAAGGGAAATGAATAGCCTTAATGAACCTCACATTTACACTAGGTGGAGCAAACAGTTGCATTACTGCACAGCCAGCAGATACAGGAGCCTAGAAAAGGGACAGGTAGAACTCCCATTGAGCACTGCTTTAACATTTTTTTGTCCGTTTTTCAGTTGCATCGTTATGAATGTTAGCCATACCAAACCACAACAATACTGCCTTCAGTAATATTTGGTTAATAACAAAGGAGTGTAAGACTGTGAAAAAATAAGAAAAGTGGTTTAGTATGCTTAATCACCCTCTAAAGAAGTATGTTTTCCTATTACCAAGATCTGTGAAAAGTACTGTTTCCTGAGTTAATCTCTATTTTTTATTTATTTCAAAGAAAACATATTTTCATTTTTGAAAAAATTACAAATTCACAAATCTATACAGTTGCCTCCTTGATGAAAATACTTTAGTTGCTGCAGATTTAACGACTGAGCATCATGTTTTTCCCTGATAAATCACTGCACACGTCTTCTTCTGCTGTCTTGTTGTTTAGGTTGGTGATAAGGTGATGGTGTTGAACCGTTTCGGGCTGTGGCAGGAGGTAGCTGTGGTGCCGGCCAGCCACACCTTCCTCATCCCAGAGGGGATGAGTTTTGAGGAGGCAGCTGCCCTCCCAGTCAATTACATCACCGCCTACCTGATGCTGTTTGACTTTGGCAACCTGCGACCCAACCAGAGCGTCCTCATCCATTCTGCTGCAGGTACAGTAGAGCCTTGAACATGTTTTCAGTCAGTCCTTAACAGAGCAGTGAAGGAATTGATTTAGAGCTGAAATGATGAATCATGATTAATTGATTATTGAAATAATCATCTAGTAATTTAGTAATCGATTGATTGTTAACTGGAGTAAAGAGACTGTAAAATATGCCTTTAGCTGACAAAACAACCCTTTTAGAGCAGTAATTATATCAAAATTGTAAAAAAATAGTAAACATTTTCATTTAAGATAAAAAAGAAATTGCTTTTTTCTATAAAACCTATCCTGAAATCCTTATTTTTTTTATTAAACCTGGTTTAATAAAAAAAATAATCGAGAGATTAATCAATTTGCAAAATATTAGTTAGTTGCAGACCTAGATTGTTTAAAAATTAGATGTACAGAAAAATCTCCCTATGCGGACTCCATGCAATGCATCTGTATTCATTATATATTAAAATAAACTAGTACACAGAAAACAAATTAACTTTAAATTATATCTTAAGTGATGAAAAAAAGTTTTAATTATACTAACTAAATTCAAATATAAAACTTATGCTACCATATGATTCCTTCAGGTTCCTTCAATTACTCCTGCTGGTCCATGTTGTCTGCCATTTTGCAACAACTTGTTGATGTATTACAGCTAGCAGCAACAGCTCATCTAATAACATTAAGTCTTGCACTGGAAAGCAGAGGTTTTAAGACAAAAATGCCAAATTAATATGATTATATTAAGCTTAGAGCTTTAATGGTGTGGCAGCATGTTGTATTCTGCACTAAATAGGTTCTACTTTTTCATGATGAGAGATGTAGTTACGGGTTTTTAGCTTTTGCAATACTGCAAGCACACCTGTCACCTTTGCTTTCTAGTCAAAGTTCAGAATAGATGAGTTGATGGAGGAAAGATTGTGATGTAGGGAAATAAAGCACCTGTTTTAGGGTGTAATGAACCTAAGAACATTTAGTTTGTACAGTCAGGCCAGCTGGAAAGAGAAGATTATTCGTTAAAGGATATTGTGTCCAATCTGTAAATCATCACTTTGCTTCCAATTCTTTCTCTTCTCATGCAGGAGGATCTAGGAATGGAGTATTTACATGTGGGACAGTGTGTGGGGGTGTAAATGGCTCAGAGAATATAATAAAATCTGGTCTTATTCTCTATGGGGGGAAAAAATGATAAAGTGCATTGGGAGCCTGCCAGTGCAGGTGTGCATGTCCCTTCACATTGACAGGAGTGAAGTTGTTAGCGTAACATTTTGCAATTCACTGCAATAGTTAACAGCATTCTAGTTGTGGGATCCCAAATGTTTGCCTTTATTATATCATTCTGTTAATGTCATTCACCCCTGTGAGAACACATGCTGCCTTTTTCTGTGTAGATTATGTTCCCTATAGGTGGAACGCTGTGGAAATGTGCTTTAAAACGCTTTCCCCTGCCGGTTTAGTCAGATGATCATCCCTGGTTTCTCAGGGAAGACTGCCAGAATTTGCTCTCCAGCTGTCAAGGCATTATTATAATAAAAACACATGTCCAAATTGTTTCCTTGTTGATTATCCTAGGTCATTTCAGCTGTTTTATGAAACATACTCCTCTCTTCACCATCTGAACATCAGTTTCCAGCCTCTTAGGGTTCACATGGAGATGTATGCTGGGTGGCTGTGTAAGGAGAGGATGCTCCGCTCTACAGCCTGTCAAAATTGTTCCTGATGTTCAACTGATTAGACAGATCAAAGGTATCTGCTGTGACAGGGCCAGAGAGTGAGGGAGGGTGGGGGGAATAGGCCTGTGCTGTGCTTTCATGTAATAATATGAAAGAAATGGCAGGGAGGCTTAGCTTTATTTATAATCCAGGTCTTTCAAAACGAAAGACGTCCCTTTTCTAACCTTATTTCATTAAAACAAATTATGAATCACATAGATGATCTGTGTAATTTAAATATGTGGCAGCCAGGGAAACTGGGAGGCAACATTACGACGGTTTGAACTGAAGAAAGCACAAGAGCAGTCGTTCAGTGATGGTGTCTAATACTACAAATTACTATGACTAACCTGAGATATTTTAAAATGTTTTTACTCATCTGAATAAGCTTCATAAATTCAACTATAATCAAACCACAAGCTTTAGGGAGAAAACAGTCTGCTTGCTTAATTTTCTTTTCCACCCACCACTCTTACAAGGAATATAAACCTCTATGATCACATGTAGAGCTAGTAACAATTATTTCATACTTAATTATCCTGTTAACTAATTGTTCAATTAATTAATAGAAAATGTGATTAATATGGGATTTTTTAAAGAATTTAACTAAACTTTTTCATCATAAATGCCAAATGTATATATATATGTATATATATATTTGTACAGTTTTAGCTGAGGTGCTGCTCTTAGTGTTGGGTTGTTCTTTTGACTGATGGCTTGTTTTAGGGTCTCTATACTCAAGCTGAGTATTTATTCAATAAATTATGTCTGTTATTGTTTGAGCCCTATTCTACTTCCACTGCTTGTTTATGTTTTCTAAGCCATTCTTATAACATCTTAGGATTGTGTTGCCATCAGATCTCAGCAGCAATCAATCTTTAAAATGGCCCTGGAGAGGATAGTGAGGGGGGTTGAGAGCTGGTTTAGTATTACCATCCTTTCTTCAGGTAGTAAGCAGTGAAAAGACAAAATCATTTAATCTGATTAGATACAATAATACATGCATCGGTATAAGTACTTGTTAAATGTGGATTAGTAATGAAATTCATAGATTGAGAGAAGATCTGTTCTTTAGGCCAAACGGGGCCCTCCTCACACTCTCATTTAAAGCTTCTAGCATAGGAACTTTTTTGTAACAATGGTGCACTTATTCCCCCCGTTTATACTTCAAAGTTACATAAGAATATTTACTTGACATTTATCTGACTTAAGCGTCACATGCTGATGATGTGGAACACCACCACTATTTCCCCAGTTCCAAGCATTCCTCTTTTGAACTAAAAGCATTCCAAGAAAACCTTTTTTTTTCCTTTATGCATTTATACCATATTTTGTAATTTTGTGAAATGATAATCAAAGATAATTGGGGAAATAAAAAGCTCAACCGTGGCCACAAATTCAGCACACGCCCTGTCTATAAGAGTGTAGTGTTACCTGTTGTATGGGGATTAATGGTTCATCACATGATGAAGTTGTTTCAAGACCTATTAAGCTGTATACCCAACTAAAGAGTTGCAGATTTATGAGTCTGTCATCCCTGAGCACATCTTGCGCTCTGTCAGAGTAAAGATAAAATGGTGAGCTCATGGATGAGATCAGCTTGTGAACGATTTGGACAGATGAGGAGTAACAGTAGTACCGAAGGCAGGCAGGCAGGGATTCGTTTCACTAACAGTCACAGGGTGTGCAGGTCCTCATCATGCTTCATACAGTGTGATTTTGTTTTTCATTGAAAGCCTTAATCAACAGCTTCTTATCATTGAAACCACAGACTCCCAGCTCCCTGCTTTCTAGTAATCACTGAGGGAGGATTCATCCTGTCTGTGCTTCATGGCTGACCATATCGTTCTAGAAGCATATTATTCTGCTAATTTGATCACTTTGGGGAAACTGTTCAAGCTTCTTTCAATACCCCATGCTAATGTATTATAAATTGAGTATAAAAATCCCTTTGCTGTCATTTTTTGTCGTTCTTCTTAAAATTACTTTATTGATTTTAAGAAGAGTAGGCCAAACTCCCTCTAAATCGCTAGAAAAGACTAATTGCTAGTTTTGACGGCAGTAAGTTGTGAGGTTTGGAACTTATTTTCCATTTTACATCATGAAAGGTCAGTTTGGATCATTGGTCTCCCAGAAAAAAACTAATTGTTTGTTAACTTACATAGTATTTGTGAATTAGTGCTTTTATTTTCCTTTTTGTGTGTCTGCTTCTGTCTTCTCAAACCCCAGTTGGCTTCAAAAGAAGGCTGGTCAAACTGAGCCTATTTCTACTGCAGCTTTCTTCCTGTTAAAAGATTTTCCTTTCCACTGTTGCTGCATGCATGCATTATCAGTGTGAGGGATTGCTTTAAAACCGAAGACACAATGCGAGCAAATGTCTACTGTCACTAAATGCCTATCCAGGAGGAGCGAATCCTTTAAAGTCAGTAACTTAATGCAATCTACCTTGTTTCCTTAGTTAGGCAACATTTTACCAATCTTCTTGTATGATTTCATTGACTTGTAACTTGTAAAATGCCTTGAGATGACATGTGTTATGAATTAGCACTATATAAATAAAACTGGCTAGAGCCTGATATCTGGTATTTGTTTCATCTAAGTTTGTCAAAACACTGATAATATCTTCCTTTTAAATGGTGAATGCTGACAGTGCTTTTAAGTACTACCAAACAAAGCTGAAATATCTCTTTTAGAACTTGTAACTAAGGTCGAAACAATAATTGGATCAATCGTGATCACTTATTAAAATAATCATCAACTAATTAACCGATTGAGTAAAGAGACCCTTAAATATGCCTTCAGCTGACCCACTAAGCAACCCACTTAGAGCTGTTATTATACTAAAATTGAAAAAAATATGTACATAGATACAGTATTTTGCATTTAAGATTAATTTTTTTTTTGTTTTACCTGGTTTAAATTGTGTAAAACAACTTCTATAAGGAAATTTAGGAAATTTATCTTATTAACCCAAGGCATAATGGAAACATTGATTGATTAACAGAATGATTGTTAGTTGCAGCCCTACTTGTACCACAGTTTGAGAGCCGTTGAATATGTGGATGACTTTTCTACTCATGCGTCTGATTTGCACAAGGGCGTTAAGGATTCGTGATTTATTAAAATCGACTATTTGACAGTGAAAGTCAAAGTCAGGTAGATGCGTCGTTCTATGAAGTAATCAGATTAAATTGGGGCTGAGGGGCAGGCTGCTGTCGAAATTTACATACAATCTGTCTTTCTGCAGCGTTGGTCTTGGTTATATCAGGTAGGTCTTATCCAGCTTTTTTTTTGCTAACTC